ACAGCTGTTCAAGATAAAAGCAATACAGTTATATGCTTGCAAAGTCATGAGAGTCATGAAGCTGGTGCTTATTTTTCAAATGTTTTCCAAATTGGGCTGCAGCTGACTTACTGACAAAGTCAGGATATTATGCAGGTGAGAGTCGGTTAGTTTGCTGTTCAAGTTCATCAGACTGAACGTCTGCTCACAGAGATAGGTACTGCCAAACAGAGATAATATCATTTGTGCCTGCTGCACAGGAATTTCATCAGGAAGCGTCGCTGGCAGTGATTTTGAGTGGATCAATATATATCAATCTTAATGCTATGTTATTATTATGCTATATTAAGAGGCTTTCAAAAGTGTTGATATTTCAGTTATATCAGTTCAGGTATATTTGCCTCTGCGTGCACTAGACAGGCCGTCTGTCAGTGCATTTACATCGTTACGCCAGAAGGTGGCGGCAAGGAATTATTTTTATTAGCAGTCATCATTAAACCAGTCCATTCATTCGACTGATACGCTTAAAACGCTGATACTTTCATGAATGAAACAAGGTGTTGAAATAAACTTTGAGCGCCGCTTTATAAGGCTCAATCGACGATCAGTGTGTCACGATGTTTCATTTCATAGAGATCAATGGTGTTGATTCAATGCATTGAACAGCGCTGACGCCCAAAAGAATGCCCCTTAAATGTTGCAAGGATACTTCAACAAATATTGCTTTAATCTTCTGACGAATGCATGTCTTGACCTGAAGAAGGACAGATGTAGGTAATCACATTCGTTCAGTTCCCCCGTCTCTGCTCTCTGTGATGTTTTTGCATGCATAAACACAGCAGGCAATACTGCATAAACAAAACTTATAGTGGTCATGTCCATATTTCATGCGTGAAGTTGACAGTAATTATCGCGACAGGCCTAGCCTCAATGGTATTTCTCCCCCTCTTCTCGTATATGGTGTGGTGGGGCAAATTAAAGGTCACCACAGGCTAACTTTGGCCCACGGGCCCTAGTTTGGGCATCTCCGGTTTAAAGGGTTCATGAAATGCATTTTATTATCATTATTATTATTATTATTATTATTATTGTATGCTTCCTATGGTGCACTAAATGATCAATATTCAAATTATATTCAAATTTAAAAGGCAAAATTTCAGTTAGGGGGAAAAAAACTAAATTTGGCTTCTCTTTTGAGGCCACAAGAGGGCGCATTGAGCAAAATATTACTAATGCATGTTTATTCAAAGTAATAAAATAACATGACTATCTTTGAAAAAAGTGCGTAATGTTTAAAATTATGTTTATAAAACTAATATAATTAAGTTGCTTAAAGGGGTCATATGACGTTGCTAAAAAAAGAACATTATTTTGTGTATTTGGTGTAATGAAATGTGTTTATGTGGTTTAAGGTTAAAAAAACACATTATTTTCCACATACTGTACATTATTGTTTCTCCTCTCTGCCCCGCCTTTCTGAAACGCGTTGATTTTTACAAAGCTCATCGGTCTGAAAAGCGAGGTGTGCTGTGATTGGCCAGCTATCCAGTGCGTTGTGATTGGCCGAATACCTCAAGCGTGTGACGGAAATGTTACGCCCCTCACATACTGTGCTGCCCTGTCCGGCCGGAGCGACGAGACAAAAACATTAAAACCCATTACAAACGAGGCATTTGTTGCATCCAGTGGGGACACAGATTATGATGACTTATATTGTCTTTTTATGCGTTGCATTGCATCGCGCCGCGTAAACATAAAACCATGTCTGCATTTGTGATTGGAGAAATGACAAACAACAAGCGCTACTCTACACTGCTCAAAACTCACGTTTGAATCATCAGTGGCAAATCCTTTAAATATAAAAACATACTTACAGGCTGTGAGTCAGCATTATTTGTCAGTATCATAGACTGTATAGGGTCAGCATGCACGCCGAAGGGGAAACAGGGGAACTGAATTCACCGGAACCCCAGCATTGTAGGCCACTGGTTCAGGAAACAGTCCTCGTCCTCTGTAAAATGCGTTGCACACATCTGAATATTTGGGTTGAAGTGTTCTGGAACGGTGTTGTAAATACAACTTAACCACTGATTTCTAGTCGTGTCCTCTTTTGGAAGAACAAACAAAGTAGTTTCGCTTTCACAACGAAACACAGCATCTTCACGACATGGCAGCAGCGGCAACAACACTACAGCGAGAATCAAAGTTACTCATTTGGGTGGTGTAATGCAAATCTTCCCACATCATGACATAGACATGTGGGGGCGTGTTTAAACGAGGCGTTTTAGGAGGGTGTGGACGAGTCTTAACTCTTATAAAGAATATCTCTTTGGGTTTGAGACTTTAGTCTTTGCAACTTCAGGGATCTTATCTATGCACGAACAGCTTGTAACACTCCAAAGAGAAAGGAAAACTTGAAATCGCATCATATGACCCCTTTAAACAGTTAGAAACAAAACAGCATCATGACTTGGTTGTATGTGTGGTTTAATACAAAGGACCGAAAACCAATCACAAAGAGTACTTTTTTTTTCCCATTTAAAAACATGAGATGAATTGGGATGAGGAAAAAACGTCATAAATTCTCGAAACATGTTTTTGTTTTTTGTTTTTAACTTATATAAATGTTGCATGGCTTTCTAAACATGTGACTTGTGCGAGACGCCAGTGCAACGGTGATAGATGTCTCTATAGAAAATATGATAAATATGTGTTCTGTGTGAACGGCTTGGTTTCAGTTTTGCCGTAGATCTTCCCTGCATTGATGTTCTCTTTTTCCACAATATTTTGAATGAGCAGTGCCACATAGTGGGTTCAACTGGATAGGCTAACAAAATCATTAAAATGCATATCTCGTGCGCCACTGATAAGTCTGCCTGACGCAATCCAAAAAATTTAATGCAATGTTATTGCATTCCAATGTGGATTTTTATTTTGAATTCAACAAATATTCAAAATTTTAATTTTTATTTGACAGCCCTAGTATGTTTTCCATCAAAACATTCAAAATATAGATATAAATGGTCATTTTGTAACCTCCCTGCATTTAGCCTCTGATTTGAACGCTCTGTTGGAAGGGGCTTGTTGCAAGACTTTAATGTAAACACCCACTGCTATGATTGGCTGACAATTCTCAAACTTTTACTAAAACAACCACCAAGATGAACTAATGGTGAAAAGTTTTGATTATAGCATTATATTTAGATCTATTCCCATTCCATCAAAGGTTGCAGTAATGAGCATTGTAGCCGAACGCTCATGTCTGAAACATGATGCAATAAGTGCCTTATTGCAATGCAATAAATGTAGTCTCACAAATCATCATAACTAAACCAACACAATGAAAACATAATGGAAAATGACTTGTTGAGCAGAGTAAACTGTGTCAGTGATTATTACAGGAGTTTAACCACTGTTCGAGTCACAGACTTAATCATTGATAGACTCTAACGATTATAAAGAGAACAACCTTTGATCGCTTTTCTGTATATAATATAATCACAGTATCAATAAATCAAGCTACTAACAGGAGCAGTGTGAAACGGATTGTTTAATCAATTTCTTGATTTATGAATGCATAAACCGCAGTAAACCACTTTGTAACAAAGAACATCTGTACATGAGCCCTTACATACTACACAGATCACAGGTCATGATGCTCGTGAAAGGCTCGTTTCAGATCTTTGCAAAGTTTATATCCCTGACTTTATAAACTAACCTCACTAAGCAAAGTTAACAGAAGTATCACTCTTGTGGTTGATGGACAGACATGAGTTGTTCAAAATCATAGATGGACAAAAAAAATGGACATCACTTCTCTACTTCCTTCCACTATAGAAAAGTGAAGCCAAAACTCAACCAAACTGTTTGGCCTTCACTTCACTTGATCGGAACTAATTTCGTTAACAAAAAATATGATGAAAAATGTTAGTTGACGAGCTTTTTTTCCACGACTGAAGTGAGATGACAAGATTTTGTATTGTAGATTTAACCTCTTATTTGTGACGCAAATTTGATTTACTATTTCATGAACCCTTTAAAAGCTTAATCTTAACAAAACAATGAATGTTACTTATGACAGCACCTATTCGTGACTGAAAAATTTCACGAGGTAAGAAACAGATTAACGTTCCAAAAAATGTATTTTTACCATCTTAGGCCCAAAGTACCAGAGATGTAATAGACATTCAGCTTAATGATCAACTAATATGGGATTTTAATGGTCGATTCTTAAACAATTTCATTTTATACATAAAATTAGAGGGATAATACACAATTACTTTGTTGAGTTAATGCTTCATTGCATCTCTTTTATCTTTGTCTGCTTTTATCTTTACAGATTCACCCAGATCTACACTGACTGTGACTCCAGACAGTCCTGTGTTCACTGGAGAGACAGTCACTCTGAAGTGTGTAATAAACTCTGATCACAGTGACTGGAGAAATGAGTGGTATAAAGGTACAAACAACAGTGCAATGTTGCAGACGTCTGAGCGTTACACTGTAAACGGAGACACTCTCACTATCAGAGGAGTAATTACAGCTGATCAGGATCAGTACACGTGTAGAGGACAGAGAGATGGAAGATCAGTCTCATCACAGGAGAGTAACCGAATACATCTGTCTGTTAATGGTGAGTAAATACTGTGATAAACACTTATAAGCACTGATTAATTATTTATCAGTTTTGTGTGGCTTTTAAGAGTTAGTTCACCCAAAAATGGAAATTAGGCTGTGTTTTACTCACCCCAGAGGCATCCTAGGTGTATATGACTTTCTTCTTTCAGACAAATCCAGTCGGAGTTATATAAAAAATTGTCTTTGATCTTTCAAGCTGTTTAATGCCACTCAGCGGGTGTTGCATGCATCAGTCCAAAAGAAGTGAAATAAAAAGCGCCCATCCATAAAAAAAAGTGTCTCACACGGCTCCGTGGGGGTGAACAAAGGCCTCCTGTAGTGAATCGATGCGTTTTTGTAATAAAAACATCCATATTCAAAACTTACTAATCACTTTAATGTCGCGTGCGCTCACTGTTGTACACTGGAAGCAGCATGCGGCATGCGGATGACGTATGAGGTCGCCGTTGCACATGCGCCGGTGAGTCTTGTGAAAACCAACGTTTGTTAACCGGAGCAAAGGAAGCAAAGTTTCTTTACTTTAGCAAAGGAAAACCAGTCTCCTCTTGGCTTATATCGAAGTCCTCTGACATTCTTCTTTACAAATCCTCGTTTTGTACTTCTAATAAGTGACCGTTGGGGGTGAACAAAGGCCTCCTGTAGTGAATCGATGCGTTTTTGTAATAAAAACATCCATATTCAAAACTTACTAATCACTTTAATGTCACGTGCGCTCACTGTTGTACACTGGAAGCAGCATGCGGATGACGTATGAGGTCGCCGTTGCACATGCGCCGGTGAGTCTTGTGAAAACCAACGTTTGTTAACCGGAGCAAAGGAAGCAAAGTTTCTTTACTTTAGCAAAGGAAAACCAGTCTCCTCTTGGCTTATATCGAAATCCTCTGACATTCTTCTTTACAAATCCTCGTTTTGTACTTATAATAAGTGACCGTTGTTTTGTTTTGAGCTCTCCGCTGCGTTTCCGCATTCGTCACTTCTGAGCGGCACATGCGCAAAGCCGAACTCATACGTCATCCGCCCGGAACTGCTTCCGTGTACAACAGTGAGCACAAGCTAGATTAAAGTGATTATTACGTTTTGAATATGGATATTTTTCTTACAAAAACGCATGGATTCGCTACAGAAGGCCTTTGTTCACCCCCCGGAGCCGTGTGAGACACTTTTTTTTATGGATGGGCGATTTTTATTTAACTTCTTTTGGACTGAAGCAATGCAACACCCACTGAGTGCCATTTAACAGCTTGAAAGATCAAAGACGATTTTTAATATAACTCCTGACTGGATTCGTCTGAAAGAAGAAAGTCATATACACCTAGGATGCATCGGGGGTGAGTAAAACACAGCCTAATTTTAATTTTTGGGTGAACTAACCCTTTAAGATGCCTCCTTTTGAGGCAAATAAGCTTTATTATAGAATGTTATCAATGCCATCTTTGTTAAAATTAATGTTATAACCAGCAGGAGCATAGGGCGTGAAGTCAGAAGCCTTGAAATATTAGGTTTTATTAAATATTATCATACGTTACTCACGATCAGATCTGAATGTTTATGTTCTCCTGACTCAGCAGCTTCATCTTCTCTTCTGGTCACTGGTGTGGTTGTGGGATTGAGTGTTTGCTTGTTGTTCTTCATCTCACTGCTGCTGCTGTGGAGATACAAGAAGAACAAAGGTGTGGAGCAGTTCATGACATGATTAATACAACTGAACAGCAACAAATGAAAGATACAGTTTATGAATAAAGGCTCATGATAAGATCTAAATTTCAGCCTAAAGAGTCACTGTAATCACTGCAGATACTCTTAAGTGACCATAATGCTCTTTGTTTCTATTATAGATCAGCAGCGTAACATTAACCAGACATCAGTCCCAAATCAATCTGCAGAATCTCAACAACAAAAATCTCCTCTACAGTCTGGTCAGCCTCAATAACTAATTATATAAAGGGATAGTTCACACATACACACACACACACAAAGAATTACCCATGTCATTTCAAATATATTTGACTTTGACATCTGTGGAACAAAAAAAGACGTTTTTCAAAAAAATATAATATTATTATAATTATTAATATAATATGTCCAAATAATAAAAATCAGTTGGTTTCAGTTCAGATTTCAAAATATATTTTTGAACCATCCCTTTAAGTTTCATAATTATTTTTTTCCCTTCAAGACTGCTTTGCTTTTTACCTTTTATCCTCAAATGCTCGTTTGCTGTCCAGCAGATTCTGATCACATTTATGACGACGTGACTGAAGTGAATAAGAGACACAAAGGTTGAGTTTTAAACCATCTTAACACATACCATTCAAAATCAGCAAATATCATTCATTAATGTTGACATGTTTGTTTTAGATGATTCAGAGTCATTTTTGGAGGTCACATATTCAGAGGTCATATGGTCATATGTGAATAAAGGTAAAAAAAATTAAAATACCTCTTCACTACAACTGGACAATAGAGTCAATAGTCAAAATCGATCATCAGTTAAAAATAAAAATAATAAAAATTGTTTTCGGTTTTTTTTTTACAGATGATTCCATGGCAGAGTCAAATGATGTGACATACTCAGAAGTCATACCAAAAGTAAAGAAATGCAAAGGTGTGCAAAATTTTTATTTTGGGGAGTGAACTATCTCTTTTACTATTAAACATCATGCACCATTTTTGCTACAGATCAGAATGACTCCTAAAGTCATATAAATCTTACATTTTATCTCTTTGCTATACAAATAAACTTGCCTTGCCTTGCCTAGGAACGTCTTGGACTGTCTTCATTACATCCACTGGGGATCTTTCTTCCTCCTCAATCACTGTAGTTAAGTCCAGGACAAACATTTCCTCTGCAGGAGAATTTTGCTCGCATTCTTCTGAAGTCCTAGTCTCTGTAATTGTGGCCTCTCCATCTGCTTCTATGCCTTCAATGCCATGCAGAGCTCGCATTCTTCTGAAGTCCTAGTCTCTGGAATTGTGGCCTCTCCATCTGCTTCTATGCCATGCAGAGCCTCTGATTTTTCTCCTCCTATGATATCAAGGACCATATCAGTGAAATCACCCCTCTTATATGGCTTGTTACCTGTTTGGGGGTTCTTGGCTTCAGTAAGGTCTTTCGTTGTCTTGGCCCTAAGGTTCTTCCATCGCAACATAACTTGTTTTATGGTCCTCTTTTGGCCAGACCCCATGGCATTGACATGATTGGTTATGTTCTCCCAAATGTTGTGTTTTCCTTTTTTGGTCACTTCTCCACCCTTTGCAGAGCTGAAACCTCCTACTATTGAGGCAAAATTGGCCCAAACACCCTCTAGCAGTGCACAGGTGTCTGCCACAGTGAAATTAGGCCCTTTTGAGTCCATGGTTCCAACTCTTTGGTGTAGCCAACACTGATCTTAAAAGCCTTGAGCATGATTGGTTTGGCTTGTGCTCAATTAGGCATACACCAATCAGCTCATTGCTGGTTAATGGGTGACACCATTTAAACACATCATGTCTTTGCACACATTTCTCTTAGCCTACAGAGGCATCCACATGGTGGGTATTGTTCATCGTTAGGAGAAGGTACCGTCAAAGGGTGCATGCTGAGCATGCCAAACCACTCGAGCAATACACATCAGAAGAACTGTATGCACGTTTTCGCTTTGGGAGAGATGACATAAAGTACATTGCAGATCTTGTCAGGCCAACACTCCAACACCAAACCAAAAGGAGTCATGCTTTATCTGTGGAGGAACAGTGCTTAATCGCTCTGCGCTTTTACGCATGTGGGACTTTCTACCAAGTAATTGGTGACAATATGGGAGTGAGAAAAGCAACTGTGAGTAATGTGGTGAAGGCTATGTCAGTAGCACTGGGCAGTCTGATCAATCAATTTGTTTCCTTTCCCAAGGATGACCAGACAGCTCAGACTAAGCATAAGTTTTTTTCAAATGGGGAACATGCCTAGCACTATTGGTGCTATTGATTGTACTCATGTGCATATCCAAGCACCTTGTGAAAGGGAGTGGGAGTATATCAATCGAAAGGGGAGGCACAGCATCAACATCCAACTTGTGGGCAACGCCGACCTCATAATAACCAACTGTGTTGTGAAATGGCCAGGGTCTGTTCATGATGCACGTATTCTAAGAGAAAGTGCACTATACAGCGAGCTTCAATCCCACCGACCAAATGGCATAGTATTGGGAGACAGCTCGTATCCACTAGGTATGCGCCGATCCGATATTCATATCGGGTATCGGCTCCGATAGTGCCATTTTTCTCGGATCGGGTATCGGGCAGAGAGATCCGATCCAAATCCGAGATTTTATTTATTTTTTTCTCGATTGTGCGAATTATTCGGTGTTACTTCTGAAGCCATACGATAGCTTAATGTGAGCTACATATGAATATTTAAGTCCTTACATTAAAGTTCACACAAACTCTTTTCTCCGCTGTGGCTGTCAGTCATTCGTTCAGCCTTTAAACCCTGCTCGCGTTCGGTTACAGCGGTCAGCTCGGTAAAGCTCTCTCCAAGATCATTCTGTGTTCCCATTATACATGATTTGTAAATACATGTCTATGATTTTGCAGAAAGGACTTTATCTTCTTGCCGGAGTTTAATGTTGTTTTGTTACTTGCTACCAGGTGTCTGTGAGAACAAAACACGGGCATAGAAAAGACTATAAATTGTTTTTAACGTGCACAGTAACTGAAATTTAAAAC